TAACTTTCTATCTCTCTCCCTTCCTCTCTGTAAAAAAATCAATAAAATATATTAAAAAAATTGATTTTGTTTTAAATGATTTCAGAGAAGAAGGTAAAGAGATAGAAACATCAGTGATGAGAGAGAATCATTGATTGGCTGCCTCCTGCATGCCTCCTACTGGGGATGCAGCCCTGACCCAGAATCAAACCATGACCTTCTGGTTTATAGGTCAATGTTCATCCACTGAGCCACATGGGGTGGGCTTTTTTTTTAGTGTCTTAAAGTGGCAACTGAAGTCATTATTTGAGATCTTTTTTCTTTTTTTACTGTGTTTATTGCTATAAATTTCCCCCAAGTACTGCTTTAGTGCAGCAATTTTCAACTTTTTTTAATCTCATGACACACATAAACTAAATCACTAAAATTCTGCAACACACTAAAAAATATATTTTTTGCCAATCTGACAGACAAAAGAGGGTAGAATTTTGATTGGTTTACAAAAAAAATAATAAATAGTAATTATCCTTTTTCCTCCAAAGTGACTTTTTAAGAAATCAGGTGCCTATCTTCTATATATATAAAAGTCTAAGCAACTGGTTGACTGGCCGACCAGTTGACTGGCCAACCAGCGGACCAGCTGGTAGCTGTGATGCGCAATGACCACCAGGTGGCAGATGCTCAAGGCACAGGCATGGAAACATGGAACAGACTGAATCTCAGAGGGAAGGGGGCAGTGGGGAGGGCTGGAAGAGATTAACCAAAGATCTTATATGCATACTAGAGGCCTGGTGCACGTATTTGTGCACTGGTGGGGTCCCTTGGCCTGGCCTGCGCACTCTTGCAATCTGGGACCCCCTGGGGGATGTCAGAGAGCCAGTTTCAGTCCGATTTCCGCAGGTGAGGCCAAGGACCCTACTGGTGCACAAATCCATGCACTGGGCCTCTAGTATATGTATACAAGGATTTTTGGTACCAAGAATTAACCAATCAGATGCAACCTTATTTTGTGAAGTAACTTATAAGGTGCAACTCTATTATGTGACTTATATATTTATGGTTCAAGACAGGGCATTCACACCAGATGGCTATTGTTGTGTTGGCTATTGTCATTTTTTTATTTGACAATTTAAGGGAAAAGTGGTCAGGGCCCCTGACAAGATAGTCATGATAGTCAAATTCTTGCTGCACTCTGAAAATCATTGCTTTAATGGCACCCCACAATTTGATATATTGTGTTTTCATTTTCATTCCATTCAAAAGAGGCTGCCTGCAGCACACCCCCTACTGGGGATTGAGCACCCAGGCATGTGCCCTGATGGGAATTGAACCATCAACCTTATGGTACGTGACTCCCAACTGACCCACACCAGCCAGGGCCCATTCAAGAAGATACTTTAAAAAATATATATATATTGATTTCAGAGGGGAAGAGAGAGAGAAACATCAATGATGAGAGAGAATCATCAATTGGCTGCTGCCTCCGCACCAAATACTGGGAATCGATCCCTCAACCCAGGCATGTGCCCTTACTGGGAATTGAACTTTTGACCTAGTTTTTTTAAAAATCTTCTATCATCCTGTGTCACTGATGAGGAATTCAGCTTATCTTATTTTCCTTGCATCTCAGGTGTTTTCTTTTTCTCTGTGAAAGCTTTAAAATTTTATCCCTTTCAAATACCATGACCTGGCTGGTGTAACACATTGGTTAGAGCGTCAGAGCATGAACCCAGGGGCCTCAGGTTTGATTTCCCGGCCCTGGGATTGGGCACTCGTGGGAGATTACTGGTCTAGTGTCTCACATTACTGCTTTTCTCCCTCCCTCCTTCCTTCCACTTTAAAAAAATTAATGGGAAAAAATATCTTCGGGTGGAATTAACAAAAAATAAAAATAAATAAGATGTCATGAGGATGTGTTTGGGATTTTTTTTTCTGAGGTGGTGCCTAAGGTCTTCTGTGGAACATTTCACTAGAACTAACGGTTCAATTGCTTAGGGCTATATGTATACACACACACATAAAATTTTCAATCTAGAATCCTATTTTAAGCATATATATACTTGGTGGGGGGGAAAGCGGGTTTACAGTTGTGAGTACGCAAAACAGTATATTCTTGTATTATTAATTATTGTATTGTTTTTCCATATGAACAACTGTAAACCTACTTTTTTTAAAATATATTTTATTGATTTTTTACAGAGAGGAAGGGAGAGAGATAGAGAGTTAGAAACATCGATGAGAGAGAAACATCGATCAGCTGCCTCCTACACATCTCCTACCGGGGATGTGCCCGCAACCCAGGTACATGCCCTTGACCGGAATTGAACCTGGGACCTTTCAGTCCGCAGGTCGACGCTCTATCCACTGAGCCAAACCGGTTTCGGCTGTAAACCTACTTTTGTCCCACTGTGTATATCTTATTTTTAACTTATTTTCTTGAGATTTGAGTAATGACTAGTTTTGTTTGTTTTACTTTAACTTATTTTTTTAGAAAGAGGAAGGGAGAGAGAAAGAGAGAGAGACAGAGAGAAACATCCATGTCAGAGAGAAATATCACTTGGTTGTTTCTCGCATGTGCCCCCAACCAGACTGGGGATTGAACCCACAACCTGGGTGCGTGCCTTGACTGGGAATCAAACCTTCCACCTTTTGGCGTACAGGAGGACGCTCCAACCAACTGAGTCACACTGGCTAGGGCTGAGTGCTGACTGGTTTTTACTCTCCTGCAGTTGACAACACTTACTACAAAGAGTCAGAAAAAGAAAATCTGGTGCAACAGTCCATTCCCTCAAATGCTCGTTCTGCCCTGGAAGTCAAGGGAACCACCTCAAGAAATACTCCATCTCTGCCTCAGAGGTAAGATTGTTTCAGTGTCAAAAGTGGTAGTTATATTAATGATGTTCAAAGAGTAGTTACTGGACAGAGCATCTACTAGGTGTGCCATACTTCATTAGACAATTTATGTTACTTTATTTAATCTTCATAACATTTATGAGATGTAGGTAATATGTTTCATTTATGATAATGGTTCAGAGGTTACTAAGTTACTTGTCTATGGTAACTTTATTTAAGAGCCAGGATTTAAACTGATCAGTTTGGTTCCAAAGCCCTTGCTGTTTGCACCAACAACACTAGTTGCAATTTTAGATTTATTTTTATGGCTATTTGACAGAATTTTTTTTTTTTTACACCACATTGTAAGTAAACTTTCTGAGGGCAACTATAATGTATCTTTAATCCTTACCAGTGTCTGGCTGGAGCAGAAGCTCAATAAATTCTTGATGAATGAACGAATGGATGGGTGGGTAGATTAATCTGCAATCTTTACTAGCAATCTCAGAGCTTTCATCATCTAATAATTAACCACCCACCCAGAGTTTAAATTGCAGAACTATTAATTGCTTTATACTTTGACATCACCTAGAATATCTCAAGGAAGAGGAATGGTAGAGTATTTATAATGTTATTGCTC